TTTTAACTTTTAGCCGATTTATGTCTTTATATATAAGGTCTATTTCTTGTAGGCAGCAAATAGTTGACTCTTGCTTTCTTATCTACTCTGCATATTGATTTGAATGTTGAGAATTTATATTTAATATAGTTATGAATTGGGCTGCCTTAAATCTGTAATCTTGATATATATTTTCTATTTTCCTATGTCTTTGTTCCATTTTTGCTTTTTTCCTACCTTCCTATGAATCAGTTGTGTATTTTTTATGATTTCATCTCCTTCATTGGCTTATTAGTCATTCTTTGTTTTGCTGTGTCAGTGGTCACTACAGTTTACAATGAACACCTTTAACTTTTACAGCCTTCAGATTACATTATACCACTTGAAGTATGCCATAAGAAACTTAACAACAGTGAGTCCTTTCTCCCTCCCTCATTGTGATAGTGTTGTCATATATTTACTTCTTTGATATGTTATTATTATTTTCAGTTAAACAGTCAGTTGTCTTATAAATAGCTATAAATAACAGAAATGTAATTTAAATTCACCCACATAATTACTATTTCTGATGTCCTTTATCTCTCTGTGTAGACAAAATTTCCATCTTCTTCTTGCTTTAAGTATTTCTCATGACATTTCTTGTAGTTCAACTGACAGTTAATTCTTTCAGCTTTTGTATGTCTGGAAATGTATTCTGCCTCCATTTTTTAAAGCTATTTTTACTGACTATAGAATTCTAGATTGGCAAGTTTTTCCCCCTTTCGTTACTTTAGAAGTGCTCCTCCATTGTCTCCTAGTTACATCATTTCAGAAGGAAATCTGCTGTCATGTTAGCTCTTGGTTCGTCTGTATGTAATACAGTTGACCCTTGAACAATGTGAGGGATGGGGCACCAACTCCCTTTGCAGTCAAAGATCTGCATATAGCTTTTGACTCCCCCAAAGTTTAACTATTAATAGCCTACTATTCATCAGAAGCCTTACCAATAACATAAACAGTCAATACATGCTGTGTATGTTGCATTTTTATATACTGTATTCCTACAGTAAAGTAAGCTAGAAAGAAGAAAACATTAAGAAAATCATAAGGAAGAGAAAATACATTAACAGTACTGTCCTATATTAATCAAAAAGAATCCCTGTATAAGTGGACCCACACACTTCAAACCCATGTTATAAAAGGGTCAACTGTACATCATTTTTCTCTGTGTACTTTTAAGATTTTCTCTTTATCACTAGTTTGAAGCAATTTATTATGTACTTTGGTATAGCTTTCTTCACGGTTCTTACGCTTTGGGATTCTTTGAGCTTCTTGGATTTGTGGGTTTATGGTTGTAATATTTTAATATTTTTTCAGATATTTTTTCTGTACCTCCCTCCTTCAGAGACTCCAGTTACATGGTATATGACATATGATACCACTTTCAAGTTCACTTGTGGTTCTCTGTGGTTCTGTTCTTCCCCCTGCCCCCCAACCCCAGTTTCTTTTTCTCCATGTTTCCTCTTGGATAGTTTCTATTGCTCTGTCTTCAATTCACTAATTTTTCTTTTATGATGTCTACTCTGCTGTTATCCCATCTGATGTATTTTTCATCTCTAGAAGTTTGAATTGTGTCTTATATCTTCCATAATTCTGCTTAACATGTTCAATATTTCTCACTTCTCAAATATATGGAATAGGTTACAAAACTTTCAATATCTGTAAATACCAATTTTATAAAAATAGGCTAATTTTGATATAATTAACATGCCATAAAACTCACTCTTCAGTGCTTGTTTTTTAGTATATTACTCAGAGTAGTACAACCTTGACAACTATCTGACTTTAGAATATTTTCATCACCTTAAAAAGAAACCCATGCCTATCACTCCCCATTTCCACCTTCCCCCAGTCCCTAACAACCCCTAATCTACTTTCTCTCTCAATGTATTTGCCTATAATGGACATTTAACATAAAAGGAATTATATAGTATGTGGCTCTTTGTAACCTGCTTCTTTCATTTAGCATGATGTGTCCAGGGTTCATTCATGTTGTGGCATGTATCAGTACTTCATTATTGCTCAATAATATTCATTATATGGCTATGTCATATTTTGGTTTTCCATTCGTCAGTTGATGACCATACAGATTGTTTCTACTTTTTGGTTATCATGGACAATGTTGCTGTACCCGTTCATATAAAGTTTTGTGCGGACCTCTGTTTTCAGTTATCTTGGGTTTGTGCCTACAAATGGAAGTGCTGGATATATCTGGTAACTCTATATTTAACATTTTGAGTAGCTGTCAAACTGTTTTCCAAAGTGCCTGTACCAATTTACAATGTCACACACAATGTATGAGGGCTTCAATTTCTCTGCATCCCTGTCAGCACTGGCTTTTGTTTGTCTTTTTTTCTTATAGCTGTCCATTAGGTGTGATGTGGTATGACATTGTGGTTTTGATTGCATTTCTTTGATGACTAATGATGTTCAGCATCTTTTCACACACTTATTGGCCATCTGTACTTCTTCTTTAGAGTAAGGCCTATTCAAATCTTTGCCCATTTTTTTAAAGATTCATTTACTTATTTTAGAGAGAGAAAGAAAAAGAGCACATGCAAGCATGGGGGTGAGGAGCAGAGGAAGAGAGAGAGAGAGGGAAACTCAAGCATACTTTGAGCTGAGCGTGTGGAACCCAGTGCAGGGCTCGAGCCAGTGACCCTGAGATCACAACCTGAGCCAAAATCAAGAGTTGGACACTTAACCAACTGTGCCACTAGGTGCTCCTTTTTGCCCATTTTTAACCAAGTTTTTGTCATTTTATTGAGTAGTGAGAGTTCTTTATATATTGTGGATACTAGATCCTTATTGGATATACATTTTTTTTTTCATTCTATGGGCTGTCTTTTCACTTTCTTGATGGTGTCCTTTAAAGTGCATATGGTGGTAATTTTTATGAAAACCAGTTTATTTTTCCTTTTCTCACTTTTGCTTTTAGTGTCATGTCTTAGAACCCATTGCCTCATCTGAGATCACAAAGATTTAGTCTTATATTTCCTTCTGAGAGTTTTAAATTTAGAACTGTGATCCGTTGTTAATTAATTTTTGTATACAGTATGAAGTGGTCCAACTCATTCTTTCATGTGTGTATATCCAGTTTTCGCAGCAACATTAATGTTTTCCAATTTTATTATCTTTGTCATTTTGGAGTCTGTTTTAATTAATTTTTTCCCTTATTTTGGGTTGTATTTTCCTGCCTTGCATGTTTGATAACTGTTTATGGGATGTTTTACATGGTTAATTTTACCTTTTTGGATGCTGGATATTTTTGTATTTATGTAGAAGTTCTTAAGCTTTGTTATGGGACAGTTATGTTATTTGGAAATAGTTTGATACTTTCTGTTCTTGCTTTTAAGCTTTGTTAGTTGGTTGCAAGACAGCATTTAGTTTAGAGCTAATGTTACCCCACTCCCAAAGCAAAACGTTTCCAAGTTCTATAGTTGATACACCATGAATTACAAGATTCATACTAGGCCGGTAGAGGCCGGTAGGAACTGTAACTACTCCCAGTTTGGGCACTTGTCCCTCTAAATCCTCTCGGGCGGTTCTTTCCCCAGCTTCTAGTGGTGTCCCACGTGATAGTGCCAATTAGTACTTAGCTGGAGGTGAAGAGGAGCCCTCTGCTCGTCTCTGGAGCTTCCTCCCCAGCCCCTCTTGGAGCAGCTTTCTCCCCTTCACTACTCTGACCTACAAAACCAGGGCACTGACATTCCCAGAATACCAGCTCTGCCTCCTTGTTTTACAGTGTGTCCAGAATTTGTTTAAATCGGCTGTGGTAAAGTAACAGGCATGGAGAACTGCCCTTGGAATAAGAGTTTATTACCTAAAGTTCCCAGGAGGAGACAGGGTAGAGGAAGGCATGAGGAAAGTACAGGGATGCCAGGGTCCACCTTGTTTGGATGGAGAGATTATAGACACTGATTAATTCCAGACAGCAATAGAAAAAATATAAATTTTTTTCCCAAAATTTTAGGTACAGCTAATCACTCGGTGAATAAAAGGAGAATTCATGCTTTCAGACGATTTAGTGAAAAGAAATTTTTAAGAGACAGTAAAGAGACACGTGGCTGGCTCACTCAGAAAAGCGTGCAACTCTTGATCTTGGGGTTGTGAGTTTGAGCCCCATGTTGGGTGTAGAGATTACTAAAAAAATAAATGAACTTTAAAAGAAATAGGAGAAGAAAACATCATTCACACTAAAGGGGATAGAAAGTTGGGAATTAAAAGAAAGCAAAGCATATACAAAACAGGATGGTTGGAATCAGACCAGAGATCTGTGACTGAGACAAATCAGACAGAAATATGTGACTCTGTTAAGTCCCTTTAGATTACGTTTTTAAAGAGGTCTACTTATGATTTCAAGAGACATACTTAAAACAAAATGAGAAAAGATTAAAAAATAAAAGGACAAATATATGAGGCAGATGATGACAGAAAAGAAAGCAATATAACAATAATATGCCAATCAAAATGGAACCCAAGGTACACAATATTTAATGAAAATTTGTAGATGAGGACTTTCTCAGGTATGTGACATCTTGGAAGGGAGAGGGTCAACTTTGCTCATTACATAGTACATTGGGACTAACCCTCAATAAAAATCTTAGGGAGCCTTTAAACCTATTTTGAAATAAACATTTATTTTAGTTGTAACTTTAAAAAAAAAATAAAAGGTCAGGAAAGTTCCACATTAGTAACTACATGCAGTTTCCCTAGTATACATGATTTATCTGTAAGTCTGTGCTTTTAATCGCACCATAGGTCATTTGCTCTGGTGGCTGACGTTAGGCTGTTCTGTCGCTGCTGTGTGTCACTGTTGAGAAAGGCAAGTGAGGGCAACATACCTTTCTTGGCCTCGGTGACACCTCACATCAGACAGTGCTTGCTGTAAGGAAAAGTGGGAATGGGAATTAAATCCAATTATTTTGACTTTTGTGTTCATTGTGTATATTCTAAGTGTTTGACTCTTTTTTTAAATGTAGCTAATGCTGCCTACCTTGGGGGCCAAGAAATGATGCAGGTGGTGAAGCGAGACAACGAAACCATAAGGACATACTTACCTAAGGTAATCACTTTGGTGCTGCAAGGAAGTAAGTAGATGGGCAGAAATATTTACTGAGCGTGAAGTGCTAGAATTGGTTAAGAGTCTGTAAGACCTCCAGGATTTGTAGATTTCACACAGAGTTCTACTTCTAGCTCAAATAAGGTGTTCTTGAAAGTTGCATAGGAAGTAAGTACAGCTGACTGTAGATTTCGGTATATGCTTAAATAAAGTTTACCACCTGTTTTTGTTAGGTTTGCTTCTAGAATCAATGCTTCTCTCTAGGCCCTTCTACTGAGGAGGTCTCAATAATATATAGAATAATGAGTTATATCAAAATGTAAATAAAACACTGGACAAAAACTAACATCACTATGACCTGCTGACTCACCTTTCTTTATTCTCCAGTGCATAAGAATAGGAAAGTTCAGCTCTGACACCAAGACCGGATTTCTCTACAAGCAGGTGCAGAAAGGCAAAGATTGAAATATTTAGCATTTGGAAGTTACTGCTCCAAATGTTAGCATCTTTTTTTTTTTTTTTTTTTTACTTTATTTATTTGTTTCAGAGAAAGAGAGAGCATGAGCAGGAAGAAAGGCAAGGGAGAAGGAGAAGCAGACTCCCCACTGAGCAGGGAGCCCTATGTGGGACTCAGTCCCAGGACCCTGGCATCATGACCTGAGCTGAAGGCAGACGCCCAACTGACCAAGCCACCCAGGCATCCCCAAATGTTTGAGTCTTGCACAAACACATTTGGAAGCACCAGTCTCTGAAACTGGAGGGTACCGTGTTTGAGAATATATCTAAGAACCCTAGAATTGGTGGCTCTGGTACTCCCATGGCGTCATTTGTCTCCTGTCCATTTTGAATAGGATGGAGCTGCACTGTCTAAACATGACAGCCACCAACCACGTGTGGTTCTTTGTGGCTAGTCTGAAAGGAGGTGTGCTGTACATATAACAGACACATTGGATTTCAGAAACTTAGTACCCGTAAGACATAAAATATTTCACTAATATTTTTATATTGATTGCATGTTGAAATGATAATATTTTAGACTATTAGGCTAAATAAAATAGACTATTAAAAGTAATTTCCAAGCACCTGGGTGGCTCAGTCATTAAGTGGCTGCCTTCGGCTCAGGTCTTAATCCCAGGGTCCTGGGATCGAGCCCCGCATCAGGCCAGGAAGCCTACTTCTCCCTCTTTCACTCCTCCTGCTTGTGTTCCCTCTCTCGGTGTGTCTCTCTGTCAAATAAGTATATAAAATATAAATAAATAAATAAATAAAAGTAATTTCATCTATTCTTTTATACTTCTTAATGTAGTTATTAGAAAATTTCAAGTTACAAATTAGCTTATATATTTTTGAGGGGAGGGGGGGCTGTGCTAATCTAGAGTTTTACGGTCAGTGCTAAGCTGTGACATCTGTAGGGTCCGACGCAGGGCGCCCTGCTGAGGGGCCAGCTCTTCCAGGCCCAGGAACCCGCAGTCTGCAGGTCAGATCTCAGATACCCTCCCCCTGGGTTTAGAATGTCTTCATAAACTTTGAAACATTTGACTTCAGCTTGCTACAGTGTTAATTCATATTTTTAGAACCTCCCAATACAATTATCTTAAAGCAAAAAATGTATACTTTCTTTAAAAAAATATTTTTTCAGAATATTGATCTATAGGAGCTTTACCCAAAGAGGACTTTTGAAAATCTGTGTTTGACTTAGGGCCACAGTGGTCATTTTTTTTTTTTTTTTCTAAAATTGCATTTGGCTAGAGATTGAAATTTTGAAGCCAGAAGGAAACCCTCACTGGCTGAATGGGGGAGGTTGGGGCCTCAGAAAAACACTTTCTCCAGGGCTTTCAGCTGTTTCCAGTCATTGAAGGATGTAAAAATACAAGAAAAACAGTATTTTATTTTTCAGCTAAATTATAAGTGAATTTGTTTCAAAAATGCATTTAAGTTCTCAAGGCTAGAAGTTCATAAAAACAACTCATTTCCCAGTTAATAATCAGACCAGCAGAAGCCCACTTCCAAAACTCACACTTGCAGAATGACTAGACCCATCATGTGTCAAAACCCATCTTACCACCTGTGGAAGCCAGCTGCTGTAAAATACTCATCATTTCTGGATCCTGTTTGTATGTTGTGCTCAGAAAGAGGTCAAAAGATGGTGCTAACTTATTCCTGTCCTAAGTTAAATCCATATGCAAGTGTAATCATTCCCAGATCGAAGTCTGCTTATGGTAACTGTGTCAGGACTGTAAGTTTACTAAAACTTTTATAAGAGAAATACGGGAGTATAATGGTAGACAGCAGGCCATTTCAAGGTTATTATTAACACAGTCACAGGAATAAACTTTTCCAACTACAGAGAATAGTTTTGTTTTGTTTTCTTAAGATAGCACAAAAGGTACTTATGGAATTTGGGAAAGCGAGGCATTGTTTAGTTTAATGATGCAAAACTACCTTGCCATTAATTGATTATCTTTTGTACCGACTCAGTTTGATCCCTTCACCAGAATAATACAGTTCCAGTTCCTAAGTGAAACGAGGTACAGAGAGACAGGAAGTTTATTGCAACTTTTTGTTTCTGTAATGAAAAAAGAGGAAACATGCTGTAATTTAATATTGGTGAAGTTGAATCGACACACGTCCCAGTCTGCTTGAGAAAATAAGGAAACTCGAAAGGGCACGTAGTTCTAGGAAAGTGGTGGGCATTGCTTTCCAAACAATCCTGATATGTTGTTCAACTTGAAAACCAATTCCCAAGACTAGACATACCCGTTTCTGGATACTCTAGTCAAGGATACTCTGTCCCATTTCAGCCCCAAACAGAGGCGGTCAAAAACTATATACCTACCCAGGACTGTCCAGTGTGAAGACTCCATGAGCCCCACATATTTTGTTGCAAAAATACTTGGAGGTATCTCAATTATTCAACAAATTTTAAAGCAGTTCTGAAAAATGTGTCTTTATGCCATCTGGTCAGGAAGCCACAAGCAAGTTAGTCTAAAAATCTACTACATCATGTGGATGGCTTTGGGATTTTTTCTGATCCCCTAGAAAACTATCGTACCATCATCTGCAGGCTTTGGTTCTACATTCAGATTTTCCGCCACTGGATTTCCATTGTCCACGTGTCCACTTTTTATCTTCTTGAGGAAAGTGGGTCTTTTTAACTCGGAAAAATCTACTGGGCTGATTGCCAGCCTGCCTGCCTGCCTGCCTGCCTGCCCTCCCAGGTCTAGAGACTTCATACATGGTATCAGTTGCATTTATTAACAGAGCTTCAATACTACCTAGAGTTGCTGCCCTTTCTTGGAGCAAATATACCAGACTCACAGTTCTTTCCAAGAGACCTGTGGCATCACAGACTGTGTTCTATCTTCACCCGACTGAATCCTACCTGTCCTTTGAAACTTGGCTCCATTGTCATCACCAGGAGGCCTTCCCCAGCCCCTGGTTTTGGTTAGATGTTGCTCCCCAGCTTTCCTGGTTCCCTGTGTAGTTTATAATATTGCCTTTTTTGCACAGTATTTAAGAGGTTAGTTTGCCCCTCTTGTCTATCTACAGGTCAGGAACTATGTTTTTTCTCATCTTGGTATCTCTAAAGACTCAGAACAATGTAGGACACCTGTGGAGTTAATAATTAATTGTGTACTGGATGCATGGATAGATGGATGGGGAAGCCATCAAGGTAGAGATTCTAAGCCTCTTTTGTGCCATGGGTCTGTTTGACCCTCTCATGCATGGACCCCTACTCAGAGTAACGTTTTTAAGTGCATAAAATAAATACATGAAATTACTACCAAAAAAAGCAATTATATTGAAGTGTAGTTATCACAATAACTTAAAAACAGATTTGTGGTATATAGTTTGTACACCTTTATTAACACATTAAATAATGAGATATAATAGCAGTCAGAATTAGTACTGTGAATTTGTAGCAGTGAGCTAAGTAACTTTTTAGTTATCTTCACCAAATTTTCTGTGATTTGAAAATTTCCATAATTTTATAGGTAACAAAATATAGATGTTACTCAACTATTGTTTGTTGCCTGTATTCCTAACTGAAGGAAATACTAAGTTATAGTTAGAGGTTGGCAAAAATAAAGATGTCCTCTTTTTTCCCAAGCAGGTTTACATTACCCCTCCCCCACTGTCACCACGTCCACATGAACCCATGTGGACCCACAGACCCCCAGTGAGGAAGCCCTACTCTAGAGACACCAGACAGGGTGAGGCAGCATGGTGGTGTGGCTTGAGCGCTGGCCTGAGGAATAAGAAGCCATGAAACGCTACGCTAAAAAGACAAGGTTATTTTGAGCTGTGGGGGAAGTAGTGCATGGTCTCAGCAAAGGGGTAATGATCAGGGTCATATACAAAATGTTTGGCCACTGTCTGACAGCCACTGACTCATCCGAGCCTGTGCCATCCGCGAACCGCCAGCCCGTTGAGAGCGACCAGTTCACATCAGTCAGCCCTAAGAATGTGGCTGGGTTAACAAGTGAGAGGGATTATTGGGGTGGCGGGGGATGTATGGAAAATATCGGAGCAGAGGAGATTTGAGATAGGAAGATCACTCGAAAAGCTTTTACAAGGACTGAGGCAGTGGGATGGGGGCGGAGAGGAGGGAGGACAGGGGAGATTTAGAAAGTAGAAGCAGAAGCACTTATACTAATAGCACATGAGAGAATAGAGAAGGAAGCGTCTCAGGTTATGTCTCTGTATTGAGATCGGTACAAGCTAGGGGATGTGGGACAAGTACCAGCAAGCCGTGGGAGGTGGTTGAGAAAGTAGTTCCTGTGGGTACTTTGTCTGAGAGAGCTGTGGGACCACCAAGCAGACACGTGTGTGAAGCTCAGAATGGTGGTCGGGGCAGAATTTCCATTCGGATATAATGATGACAGACTTGAAGCCGTGAGCCTGGATAACTGTAGCAAAAGGAAGTAGTATGTGGAGAGAAGACATCTAAAGATTGATCCTTGAGAGAGCAGAGCTTGAAAGGTTGGGAGGAAGTAGAGGAG